CTTTCATGATCCAAGCTTCGGTATCCTCTTTGATCCAGTGTGAGATCGAAGGCGGCGATGATTGTTGGCTTGGAAGTTGCAATAAAAAGCCCACTTGGCGTAGGATTTGAAGGCGGATGTTGTCGTTGAGGAGTAGGGATGAGTAGTCTTGAGGATTGGAAGGGAATTCCAGTTATTGTAGCGGACAGTTGGATCCACAGAAGGTTCTTCATGGTTAAAAGGCAATCTACCCTCTTGGTGCACATCATGTACGGGTAATCTAGCCACTCATTTGTTCATGAGTAGTGTGGAGGTTCCTTATGTGGTTACTGATGGTAAAAATATAAGTCATTTATTGCATCTCACCATGGTTAAACTTATTAAGTTGGTGATTGTAAGAGAAAAGAGGGGGTTGGTAGGTTGAAGGAATGAGAATGTTGGCGACCTGTATAAGATTGAATGTGGTAGTAGAAGTCACAAGATGAAAAAGTTTTTTGATAGGGGAGAAAGGGCAACAGGATGCGCATATAACAGTAGCCCATATTTTGTCCCTCCCTTTTTGTTTGATTCTGAAGTCATGGAATCTGTTATAGTTGTTTCCTACCTATAGTTCATCTAGAATAACCTCCACTGTTTTTAACTATCTGCATATCCTCATTAGTTATATATGATGGACTTCAAGTATGTTTAAGATATATTTATCGTGACAAAAAAATGAGATAAGGAAAAATTTCGCACAAAAACAATTTGTAAGGATGTCGTGCTTAGCACAGGAAAAATATATGAAATTATCATCATTTGTAGCCTTAACCTTAAAGATATTTAACTGAATGTGTTGAGGTGATTATTTTTGTGTGTGCCTCCATCATGGATAGTTTATGTAACCTGCTTAAAGAAGACGCTCCATTGACATATTACTTACATCTTGCAATCCACCAAATATAATACCCTCCATAATTTAGTCAACATCAAAGGCTGTATGTTGGCCTTTTTCATGTTTTTCTGCCATAGTTATCTGAACTGTCAAACTATTGGAAGAAATTCTACCAAATAGCACGCATTAGATATATAAATGCTAATGACGTGTGCACAAGATATACCAGTGTTACTGATGAGAAATAGATTTTTGAATTTCGATTAACTATTGGAAGAAATTTTACCAAATAGCACGCATTAGAAAGTGAGTTGTAAAGTTTCTCTACATTCAAAGACATAGAGGATCATCTATCTACGTGTATTTTCTGTTCACAATGACAGAGATTTGTTGCCATACTTTTGAGTCTAATATATAATTTTAATTAATATGAGCATCATGGACCGAGGAATTAGTGTTCAATTGAGTATGTAGAATATTTTAACGCATCTATCAACTGTGTACATATATCTATGAAACATGCTAGATGTTCAATATGTTTCTAACCACTTATGTATGAATTTGATTAAGAGCGAAAGTGAGGAAAATAATTCAGCGCTTAAAACCATGCTTCTTAACATACTTGAACCGTCTTTACATTCTTGCAAGATAATTTGATAAACTATATACACAATCACTTTATAGTAACACATTGTTTCGTACTATGGCTTTCAATATTAGGGGATCTTTCTTACTTGATAAAATTATTAAGTGCATATACTAATGGAATTAAATATTAATGCAGGAACTGGGTATCTAGCCTTCGATAAAGGAGCACAAATTTTGGACACATAAGATCATTTGTGTATGGTAAAATTAGTTCCCGTTGGAAATTTACAGAATTTTTTTTAAGAAACCGTGCTTTGCACGGGTCTAAATACTAGTTGTTGTTTAAAACAACAACAACAATAATGGTAAGAAAATCTTGTGTATTTCTATTTAGTCCTTACTTGAGGAAAATGCCTATGGGCTAGACTCTTTTGTGGGCCTTTATCCACTATTGGATCTTCTGAATCCAACCTCAACCCGACCCGTTACAGCCCTCATCATCATCAATTGGATCTTATAGGTTCCAACCTAAACTGGACAAGTTACAACCCTTATTAATTATTATAGTAGTCACCGACGCCGATAATTTTTCTTAGGTTAAATATTAGAAAACACCATAACATGTATGTATGTATGTATCTACATACAACAACATCAACCCCCAACCTCTTTTGGGGATTAATTACTAGAAAACTCTTTTAACTTTAATACTTTTTTCAGAATTCCCTTTGAAAGCATGAACCCCAATTTTCACTAGCAAAAAAATTTTCTCTGTGTACTTTCATCCACCTATGTGAAAATTTGTGATTAACAAGAGGTTTCCTGAAAAAATATTAAAAAGTTAAAAGTGTTTTTTTTCTCCTTCTAAAAATCACCTTTAAAATGGGATCATTGTACATACACCATCTTTGCTTGTTAATTATACATGAATTATTTTTAAATGGGACATAAACTATTTTTAAATGGTTTTTTATTGCAATATACAGCCATGGCTTACTTTTTAGTCAAGTTTTTTGATCGTATTGTAATACTTTTGTTACCAAAATACCAAATATATTGGAGGGATAATTCTTTATAGAGGTTGGATGAGATCAATTATAAAATAAAAAAAGTTAATTGAAAAGTTGGTCTAGATGGTTGATGCAATAAAAAACATAAAAAACTCTTTGAAGATGATTTATGTATAAATTGAGAATTAGAGCCGGTTCCTATTGAATAACCATAGTTTAAAAGTGGATTCTATGAAAAACTCAAAAGTTAGAAGGACTTCTAAAAAAGATTTTTACATCAATACCACATTTACTTTTACTCAAATTGATACTTATCATTTTTAAAGTTTTTTTGATGTAAATCACATTTACTTGCTAACATATTTGCAATGTCACACGTAATCCAGTTTTCACTAAAAAATACGCGAAATGACCATTTTAGCCTCACCATTTTCATCTCCTTCGTCACAAATCCTAACCCTAGTCTACTCATCCTCCTCTTCTCCCTATCTTCCCTCTCCCTCCTTCCCCGACTCCTCTCTCCCTCCCTCTCGTCCTCCCCCCTCATCCCCAACCTTCCAATCTCTCATTCCTTCCGAGATGGGAGCTAGGATTATGGTTAGGGTTTTGGGGGAGGTGGCGACTATGAATTAGGGTTACGGTTTTTGGGGAGGTGGCAGCTATGGGTTAGGGTTAGGGTTAGAGTTTGTAGAAGAGGAGGATGGATGACACTGAGGTTAGGGTTAGGGGTTGTAAGGAAGAAGAGGGGTAAAACGGGAAAATCTAATTTTTCATGGGTGAACAATAAAAATAGATGTGACATTGCAAACATATTACTAAGTAAATATGATTTATATTTTTTTTAAAAGTGATAAGTATCAATTTGGACAAAAGTAAATGTGGTTTTGATGTAAAAACTCTTCTGAAAATCCGTAAAGTAAAGGGAGATTTACCGATATTTTGAAAGTTATGAGGGTTTATCTGATAATCGTGCAAAGTGAGGGCTATGTTTGATATTCAGTCTTTCTTCCCCTTTGTTCATCTCTCAACTGAACTCAGATTCCAGTATCTGATCATCATCATCGTCATCATCATCATCACCAATCTATCGCCATGGTGAACGAAGAAGTGGGATCAAAGCTCGTCCGCTTCCTCTACTTCGTCGGCGCTGGAGGTACTCTTTCTATCTAGACCCTGAAAAAATAACCCAACAAATTTACATCTAATTGTGCTCCCTTTTCCTCCTTCAGTGATTTGCACAAAAGGTATTAATTTGTATCGAGATTACGAGCGCAAAGCCGCAATCAAGGCGGCCGAAGAAGCTCAGAACCCTTCAGCCGCTGCCGAAACAGCCAATGGAGCAATCGCCAAGTAAAAAAGAATTTTGCAAATTTTAGGATAGGGTTTCAGTTCCTGTTCTGAAAATTTAATCTTTTTGCTCTTCCATGACGTGTAACTGTCAATTGAGTGAATGAAAGTTTTTATACTTGTTGATGAATCGAACAATTCGAATTGAACTTGAGATTTTGCATCATTGATAACATTATGGGTATCTCGTCTAGTTGTTTAACATTATGGTTTGAATACATTACTATGATTAGCTAGTTAATCTTTGTAGATATCCAGGGTATTAGAGTGAATGCTACCTTTTGGTTTAAAAGATTGTTTCGAGGGTTGGCCTCAATTCAATGTAAGATAGGATACATTCAAGTAATACAACAGTGTACGGTTTTATTTGGAATAGTAGGAGAACTTATGAGTTCTGACAGGATCTGCTGTAGAAGGGCTTGTGTTTATACGACAACATTATTGGAATTCATCTTCACTTGCCGAGCTAAGGATTTTTTGTGGGGAGTAGATCATATATGATCCGTTGTCAGTAGAAATATTTTAAACTTTTCGCTAGCGGATATGTGGTACTCTTCATATATAGATGGATAGGAATAGTTGTATACTCTGGTTTTGGGGCTGTCAATGTCCTAATTAAACTATAAAGGAAGTATGGTTGTCCTTCAATCCACAAATTCACCTTCTGAAGTCAGATTGAGGTTCCATTTGAGCAGTAATAACTTCGGTATTTGGCATATTTACAATTAGGATTTTATGATATGGGGTATACCATTTAGGGCACAAGAGGCTCAAAGAGTGGAAGACCTTGCTTTCTTTCCTTCTTAAATATGTCTCTGTGCTCGTGTGCATACAACATTTGTGTTTATAATCTTGCACTATCTTTTTTATTTTTATGTAATATGACTGCACATGATCTGGGTTCTATTACAAATTAATGCTTATATGACAACTAATCTCAACAATATACATCAAACAGTGCTCCAGATTTGCATGAGCTCTGGAAATTAGGAAGCAACGTAGAAACATTTAGCCACACCTTCCAAGGTTATCAAATTATATAGTAACACATGATTTTTTTCCTGAAATATATTGCTTTTGCAATCAACCTCTACATTTTCCAAGCCCAATCACAAACTAATGGTAAAATGATCAAAAGTATGAGTGTAAAGGAAACATAAGAAAAAGAAGAAGAAAAACTATGTATCATGATGGCAAGAAACTGAAAGAAAAAAAAATATATATACCTCTTTAGCAAGAAACAAAGGGACGACAGAAGAGGAAGCAGTTAAAATGGAATAAGAAAAAACATAAAGAAGCCTAAAAAAATTAGAACGAACCACAATACAAAAACTTTCTGTTTTCCCCCCTTTTTTCTTTTGCTCTCTGGAGATCAAGGTTGAGTATTCTGTGACTCAGATGAGAATTGTTCCTGCTCCCCGCCTTGCCAAGCCCAAACAATATCCTTAAGAGAAGGTTTCAGTTCCTTTTTGCAAAACTGTTGATACTCCAAAGTATCTCCTGAAGATTTTGTCACCTCCACCACATAAAATGACGGAGTAACCTCAAAAATCTCGGCATCAATCCCCAGTTGCCCTTTTCTTCCTTCCTTGCTCCCTTGAAGCTTCACCATTCCATCCTCCTTCTTCACCTTGAACTTCTCGTGCTCTGCAATCTGCTCCAACTTCGACACTATATCAGATGCAGACTTCTGCGTCGTAAACCTAGACTCTGACTTTTCCCCATTCTTCTCAAAAAGTCCTGACAAATCAAACCCTTGAGAAAGGGAGATGATGTCAAATGCATTGTAGTTCGTGCGTTTCATCGTCGTGTTAGGCTCTTCCTCCTTGCTATGACTACTTCCTTCGTCATCAGAAATTTCAGGGAAGGCCCTTCTGATATCTCCCAAGCTATCAACAGGTTGTATACGTGGTGGTTCTGCTGGTTTAAATCCCTTTTTAAACCATGGATTCTCTACTAGCTTGGCAATAGTGATCCTTGTGTTGGGGTTTGGATCAAGTACTCTGATGAGAAGTCTTCGGACTTCAGGAGCCAACCATTGGGGGCACCGGAAATCTCCTTTGCTTATCTTTCTATACATCTCCATCAGATTCGAGTCATGAAAAGGTAAAAAACCCGCCATCAGAACAAAAAGAACAACACCACAAGACCATACATCAGCCTTAGCACCATCATAACCTTTTTTGTTAATAACCTCTGGCGCCACATAGGCAGGGGTCCCGCAAGTAGTATGTAGAAGCCCGTCATGGCGTCGAGATTCACCAAGAGCACTCAATCCAAAATCTGACACCTTGAGATTACCGTTCTCATCAAGAAGGAGGTTCTCTGGCTTAAGATCACGGTGATAAACACCGCGACTATGGCAGAAATCAATGGCGCCAATCAACTGCTGAAAATATTTTCGGGCAGCATCCTCTTTGAGGCGACCCCGAGCAACTTTATTGAAAAGCTCACCTCCTCGAACATACTCCATGACAAAATAGATCTTGGTTTTGCTCGCCATCACCTCGTAGAGCTGGACGACATTAGGATGGCGTACTAATCGCATTACCGAGATTTCTCGCTTGATTTGGTCGATCATTCCAACTCGTAGAATTTTCTCCTTGTCGATGACCTTGATGGCCACACTCTGGCCTGATGATAGTTTACGGGCATGGTACACTTTTGCAAAGGTCCCTTGACCAAGGACTCGGCCAAGCTCGAACCTCTGCATTAGAATTGTCCCTTTCTTCTCCATGTTTTTGTGATTTTGTTGAGGCTGGTTTAAAATCAGGATTTGGGTTTTTGGGGTTACATGATTCTGCGTTTGTTTTCAAGGGAGAAGGGGCAGAACCAATAGTGTCTATGCTCCTCAATGATGTTTGTGTGGAGGAGAGGAGGAGTGGGAGGGATTCAAAGTTTGTTTATCTGTTTGTCAAATATGAGGCTGTAGAGATTTTGACCTCCTTGGCAATAGGAATGGGGAAATTAGGTTTCTGAAAATAGTGGCTTTTGTGATGAAATTTATAGACTTTTTCTTTCTGTCTTCTTCTGTTTTTGCTTTTAAAGGTATACTGCCTACCAGAATAGTTAAGATTTTTTTTCTGTAATGGGTTCCTAACTTAGGCAATTTTGGACACCAGACAGCCTAATTTCCTTTTCGATGAATTTGGTTAACTTATTTAATTTCTAACCAGAATGCAATAAGGCATAATGTTCTATATTGGATATGGAGTGTTTACTGTAAGAGTAATGATTATTGGGTACATAAAATTATACATGCTGGTCCTTTGTATTCATATTACATCAATGATATAGATAAGTGTGGATTCATGCATGTTGATGGGTATAAGTAATGATGGGTATAAGTAACGCATTACATAATCTTGCAGTCCTATATAGAATTCTACATATAGATAACTACGCATGCATGTATTCTTAGTTGTGACTTGTGAATCATCTGGAGTTGATACAAAACAGTTGGACATTTGAAGTTTCCCTCATCTTATGTTGTGCCAATTTAGACATTTTATGTTTTTTCTTGGAGATTTATCAATGGGTGTGTGACTCAAAGTAGACGACATTTACATGATTCAAATTACTTCTAAGACATTTTGGTTCGTTATCTTAGACTAGCTTACATGAATTCAATGCTTGTTTTCCTGGAGCTTGTTTAAATAGTAGGGTCTGCCCAAATGTGTGGGCGAATTGACCCAGATTGGTTCAAGGATCTAATCTCTTCTTAATTCTATATAGAAAGGATTATATCTCTACTTTGATTAGAGATAATATTCTCCCTTACTCTATATATATAAGTGAGGGTTTTACATTGAGAATTATAGAAAATAAATAGTACTAGTCGTCATCTCCTTTTTCAGTTCGTGATTAACGTGTTAGTTGCGAAGTGATGTGCAGGGGCTTTTAGCCATATCAACGGTGGGGTGACCCTCCTGGCGTTTGATCAAGATGACCGTGCTGATTCTACAAAAAAAGATCCGTTTGGTAAACCCTAAACTCGTTGTTATAATTCTATGGCTCCTTTATTCCCGCTGACTATGTCATGCCTATCCGGATCCTACACCTGGAAACAAGGATTTTCACCCCCATTCTGATAGCCATATAACCAATATATGAATTGTATTAAAATAAACCTCCATATCTATTATTTTCTATTCCATTCTTTTTTTAACTATTCTTTTGTGATCATGGTTATTTTTGTTGATGATATTACTTAGGCATGTGACATCTTTTTCCATCCTTTCATGCTTAAGTAATATGTACGAGAATAGACATTGGAATTGAATCAATAAACTATAGCTGATCCAAACAAATATTCCCTGATGAAATTTGAGGAGATAGGGTGAGAATGACATCTCCGGCATCAAACTTAGACCTTTGTCCTCTTGGAGATATCATCAGTGGGCATGTGAATTAATTATACAACTATGACATGATCCAAATGCTTTAAAAGCTGAAACACTAGATTTAGACTCTTATTCTAGGTTATTATCAATGACTTTTTTTCTGGTGGCTGTTATCTATGTTACGTGATGTTAATTTTTGTTAACGTGTTTTTGTTTTCCCAAATTGTGAATATAATTTAGGCTTTTGATCGATTATTTAATGAAGAGTGTAAAAGAAGCTATCACTTTTGTTTCTGCTTTACCTGTATCATTCGTGTCCATAGGCTTTGGATTACACAAAATCAATTTGATTTTGTATTACTCTACTGCTTGTTTTCCTTGAAACAAAGGATTTTCATCCATTTTGCTAGCCATTTAACCAATTTATGAGTCGTATTATAAAAAAAAATTTCCGCGTCTATTATCTTGTATTCAATTCTGTCTTCTTTGATATTTTTTTTTGTGGTCATGACTAATTTTGTCGTCGGTCCCTCTCAGGCATCCTTTTTTTTAAATGCACATTACAAGAATAGATGTCATACAGTGGCATTTAGTCAACAAGCTACAGCTGATCCAAGCAAATTTCTCAGTGGCGAAATTGAGGATAATGACAGGCTTAGGAGCAAGAGATGAGACCACATGTTTGGCATCAAACTTGTCGATTTAGATGAGAAAGTAGTCGTGGATCGAAAACCTCGAGTTACTCTGTAGTTCATGTTATCTCATCTCATTTCTCAGTCTATATATGTTGTCTCCATCTGGTTCGGCCCTTTGATTGTGATTTTGTTGTCATGTTCTTTATGTTTGAGTCATGTTTCTCCATGCAAATAATCTTCTTCTTATTTACCGTTTGATCTCTGTGAAATTTGATTGATATATCCTGATTCAATTTGAGCCTAGTATATCTTAAGCAATATGGGGTCAGGCATAAGACACAACATTTGTAATTTCTCTCGTGACAAGTACTTGAACTTTGCAAGGAACCAAGTGATTTTCGCCGTAGCCTACCTACCATCTCCGATCTAATGGACGAGTTAACACAGCCTGCAAGCGTGCGGAGACTAAGCCTATTTTTGCGTTCACAAACAAATTTTCTTCGGCTTTGGATTCTCTACGTTCTTAATTGTAAAGAGACCCTTTGCGATTATAATTTTTTAACGTAACGCACGCAAAAAAAAAAAGGTAATATTTTTCAAGGGGATCCTATGATAAAGAGATATCATTAGTTCATCTAAATAATTTGCAGGATTTCTATACAGTCAAGGATTTAGAGGATTCCTATCCGTTTCTTGTGGCCCAAAACTTAGCCCAATACTACTATAATGTTAGCAGCTACAGGCTGACAACTACAATAGAAGCAATCTTGTCATGCTCTATATGGAATGAAACCACCAATGGTTGAATGACTATGGATCCAAGCAAAACTGAACTCTGGTTGAACTACTTAGGATGCGTATCTCTTCAACATGATGAAGTTGACCCAAACCCGACGTGAAACTAGAGTCTTATATAAAATGGGTACGAGTCAAATCGTCTTGATCTGTATAATAAATAAGCCAACGCAAGGATAAAGGGGCTCGAGCTCGTTAACTTGGTTTGATTCAAATGAAAATCAACTATTTCTTAAAAATAAGACAGCTAAATTAAGTGACAATTAGCTGGTTCAAAACTACAGCTCAAATATAATCTACAGTTGTGTCTGGTCATTGGAGTGTCGACAATACACGTATGCTCATCTATGAACTGATCATGAGTTTAATCCTTAGCACATTTTAAAAATAACTTGTTTGGCGATTTGCCGATAGCCATGCTAAAATGCATACGGTCCAAATTTTAAGCTGAATACGGATCAAGCTCGTCCTTGACTCAGACAAATAAATGGATTTATCATGAGTTTGACAAGTATGAATCGACAAAGAATCTGATTAAAGATATTTACCACCCCTAAATACTTAGTTATATATCCAATAAACGAGAAAATAAATTTCAGAACTTATTACTCACAATCATCGTCACGGCACGAAAGATGATGTGTTGCGAGGGAACACGCAACATTTCCTACTATACTTTGTCTTAATGTTATGAACTGTAAGGAGGAAGATGTTCATTACAATGAGATTAGTAGCTTTACAAGTGTTAAATTTCCCTTGAGGTGTGTTCTCACAGCCAAAGTGGGACTAAAACCCACTACAATACACTATTATCAACAGCCCCCCTCAAACTCATGTTGGATCAAACGAAGTTTGCGTACAAGAAACTAGAACCGATGAACAGGTAAGGCCTTTGTGAAGAAATCAGCAAGCTCGTCAGCGGATGAGACATGAGGAAGTAGAATTGTCTTGTCCTCGATAACTTGTTGACGGACAAAATGAGCGTCGATCTCAATATGTTTGGTCATCTCATGAAATACTGGATTATTAGCAATCTGGATTGTACTCTTATTATCACAGTAGAGAGGAGTAGAAGTTGTAACAGAAATACCGAAATCACCGAGAAAACAACGAAGATGAATAATCTCTTTAGCTGTTGTGGACATTGCACGATACTCTGCCTCGGTGCTGGAAAGAGCAACAACATCTTATTTCTTACTCCGCTAGGAAATTAGGGAATCGCCAAGAAATATACAATAACATGTGGTAGACTTTCTGGTAGTAGGATCACCAGGCCAATCAGCATCAGAATATGCACAAAGCTCTAACTTGGATGTAGCAGGAAACAGATGAGAGTGAGTGCTAGTACCCCGGAGATACCGAAGAATCCGTAATAAGGCAGCATAGTGTACAGAATGTGGGACACTAACAAATTGACTGACAATGCTAATAGCATGAGAGATATCTGATCGAGAGATGCACAGATAGACCAACTGGCCAACAAGATGTTAATATCAGGTAGGATCAGATAGAGATTCACCATAAGTAGAGCAAAGTTTAACATTCTGTTGGAGTGGATTATCGATAGTTGCATCGTCAGTTAGCTCAGCTCGATCTAGAATATCCGAGAGATACTTCTGTTGAGACAGTAGTACACCCTGTCGGCATTGAGAAATTTCTAGACCAAGAAAACACCGAAGAGATCCAAGATCCTTCATATGGAACAGTTGTTGCAACTGAGATTTTGCGTACTGTATACCGATCACATCATCACCTGTAATAATCATATCATCTGTATAGATAAGTAATAAAACCCTGCTACGCGATATAGTTCGAACAAACAGAGAAGCATCTTGATGACTTTCCAAAAAGCCCGCCTTGAGCACGACATCGCGAAAATACTCAAACCAAGCACGGGGTTCCTGCTTAAGACCATAAATAGCATGGCAAAGGAGACATACATGTCCCGTAAGAATATTGGACCCTAGAGGCGGTTGCATATATACTATCTCAGATAAAGAGCCATGAAGAAAAGCTTTTTTGATACCCATCTGGTATAAGGGCCAACGATGAGCAGTAGCGACTACAAGAAGAGTACGAACGGTGGGCATCTGAGCAATAGGAGCAAAGGTCTACTCATAATCAATACCTTATTGCTGAGTAAAACCTCGAGCCACTAAACGAGCTTTCTGACGTTCAATGGTGTCATCAGGATGATACTTGACCTTATAAACCATTTACTACCTATTAAAGAGATGCCAGGGGGACAGGGAACAACATCCCAGGTATGTGTTTATTA